TCCAGACCACTTGTCTCCAGTTTTGTCTCTCTATAGGGCAGAACAGCACTAGATGGTCTTCACTCACATACAGTCATTTCTAACAACCTTATTGTCTCTAGCAGCCTCAAAAAGCAGTTTGTCTGCAGCATGCGTCCTGCAGCCCCTGCTACAGGGACAAGGTATCTGTGGCCTCAAAGCTATGATCAGCCCAGGCTCTTCCTTCCTGTCTATGCACTGTGCTGGGCTTTCTGCATGGTTTAGAGAAACCAGAGACTTTGGGAAACTACTTCTGGATGTGCTGACATCAAACAGGTGCTGTGCCATAGCATGCAATGAATCACTTTGTGTGCATGGCATCGAGCAGAACCCAGGCAGAATCAGGAAGAGCTGAAAAGCTTCTAATTACATCTGAACTGCCTGTTACAGGGGGGATTCTGTACTTCAGTGGAAGCCTGGGAACCAGAGGAGAGGCCTGAAACTACAGAAACCAAATCATGAACCATCTTCTCTTTTTCAGACAACTTGCAGGACACAGAAAGATGATGCTGGAGTTGGGATCCAGAGACTAAAGGGCACCTGCTCTGCCTCAGTGTTATCATCACTGCAGCTGCAGGATGTCTGGGGGTCCTTTGAAGCAGGTGAGGCTTAGGGAAATGCACAGAGCTGTATCATACAGTTATACCATAAAGCATCCATGCCAACAGCAGAGAATGCAGAGACACAAGAGATGATGGGTTTTTCCCTGTCAGCCTGAGGAATTCACAGGAATCTCCCTTTTTCCCAGCTTCCCTACAGCATCAGTGTACAGACATCACCGTGCTTTGGAGGATCCTCAAAAGCCTCCCTTTACAGTGAGCAGAGAAACTGGCATTTCTCTGGAAGTGACCACAATCCCCCTTGGCAGTGCAGCTGTAACTGCAATCTTATTTTGGGGAAGTCAAATACCAGTCTCATCTCTAAAAGCATCTTCACTCACTTTACAGAGTGCCTCAGGAAGGGTAAAGAGGGGCTTTAACACAAGCACACACTCCCCTCAGCCATGCTGTTAAATGCCAGGATGCAATCCAGAGACTTACCTTCTCCACCCGGAAAGAGAGTTGTCTGGCTGATGCTTCTACAGAGGGGTGAATGAACTCACAGGTAATGATTGTTTCTATTATCTTCTCTTCCGTTCCTTTTTCCCCAATTAAAGCTTTACACAACACATAATCCTGCACCTCCTGCATGCAAGAGTCACATGTCACCAGTGGGTGGTGGCAGGACACCCAGAAGATGCCATGCATTGGCTCAGCACCCACCACCCACCACGGGCCCTATTCCTGCCACACCTAGAGTCACTGCCCCCTTTTCTTCCTGTGATGCAGCTTATTTATTCTGTGCTCAATTGTCTGTACACTGCACCCCAATAACCACAAAAGGCACTTGTGAGAAACTCCCTCCCTTCACATGGCTTTTGTTTTACTCCATGCTTACCCCAGATAAAGCACTTGGCACTTGTTTAATTCACTTTCTTTTTGGGTTCCTAGTCTAAATGTAACTTATTTCTCTGCCTTTCTTTGCTGACTAAGCATGCTTGCCCCAAAAGAGCAGTATTTCCTTCCACCCCTACTTTGGGATCAGCACTGGGTTTTGGTAGCTGTGGAATCACAATAAAGCCTTAGCTGGTCTGGGGGTGGCCAGCAGGGAAAGCAACTGGTGCTGCCACAGAAACGTGTGGTCTTAAACCAGTTTTGTGAAGGCCCCTGCTCATTTCCCCAGGCAAATGTCAAGGGACTGTGGAGCAAGCCCAGGGGAGGGGATCTGACGGTTCCCCAGGCTCAGCCCCTGGGGGGGACCTCACCTGTGTGATGTTGGAGAAGCCTCGCAGCACCAGGTCCGCAGACTCGCCTGGCTGCAGTTTCATCGACGATGTCTCCAGCCCAAACGTGGAGGCAGCACGTTTGGGGCTCTGGGAATCATCTTTGGGGCTACTGAGGGCTGAGACACTCTTGCCCTCCGCCTTAGGTGGGCTGTAGCATTCCATGCTCCAGAAGAGCCCATGGAAATACGGGCCCCTATTTGTTAGTTTGAACTGACGAACACAGGGAACGAAGCTAGAATAGAAGGCAGGATGAGAATAGTATGGGAGCAGCTATTTCCCTGGTCATCAGATTGCTCCCAGTGAGCATCCTGAGGTGTTAATAGTTTGGAGAAGGTCTTCATTTCCAGCTCTTAACATGGACCTGAAATAGTGTCTGATAGGCTGCCCTTCTGATGTCATTATTGCAAAGAGACATATGTTTATAATGGTAATGTAGCATTTTCCAGGTGAGACTAACAGGGCATAGTGTTTTCCTCCAAAATGTTTGTTCTGGGGTGATCCATACTGTTGCTGTATTTTGTATTAATCTGTGTCCAAAACTGTAACTGAATCTTTGAGATCCTGCACTTGGGGACCTTGTGTCTGGGGGTATGATTGCAGGTATTTCTAAAAGCCAGCTCAGAGGCTCTGGATGACCCCAGCAAGCTGATAAAAATTGTCTGCCTGCTCCAGGACAGGAAACCAGGGCAGCAGGGCCTCTCTTGTTCATAGCAGCCTTGGCTTTGCACTGGTAGCCATTTGTAGAAACCTCATTTTGCAATTAGAAAAGGTTTGGAAGTGAACTTTGCAAACTCTGCTGGCAGCTCTGCCTCTGGAACTGCTCTGTGGTTCAGAGCAGTTCCTGCCTTCAGCTAAGGGTTTTCACCCTCCTGTCTCTTTGTTCCCAGGGCTTCTGCTTGCCTGGGAGGTGCCATTTGGAGGGGAAGGGGAACAGTGTGATGCCATCTTCCCTTGGTCCCTCAGCCACACAGAGGGACCGCCTCATCCGGGCACCATTTCGGGAACCTTTTGTTCTGGGGGAGCCTGCCATCATCACTTGAGCATTACTTGATCAAGTGAGGACATCAATGTATTAGAACTAAAGACAATTCAGTGGCAATTTAGCAACTGGCTTCCCTGTGTCAGTGGCTTTTGAGGGTATCTAACAACTCTCAACTGGCCATCACATGTTTCTAAAGGAATGTCTGCCTTCAGGGAAGGAGTCAGGGCTTTGAACACTGAAGATCATGCCTGAAGGACTGCAGCAGAACTGCTCCTTGTTGAGAGAGGAGGAGAGGTGGGAGTGGAGAGATCTCCTACCTGAATTGGTATCCCAGGTTGAGCTCTGGGGCAAATGGCTTGTCTATGGCAATTGCGGTGCCAGTGCCCAAAGCCTGCAGCCTACAGACAGCCCAAAAGCTGTTCCCAATGAACAGATGGATGTTGTCATCAAAACACTCAGTGTGATCCAGGGTTGCTGTGACAGTCACAGGCAGCTCACCCCTAGCTGGGATCACTCCTTCTTTGGGTTCAACGACAAAGCAGTCGGGTCTGTGAATCTGTAAGACAAGCATAATATGCATTTAGGATGGAAACCATACACCCTGGTGTCTTGTGGGATATAAGAAAAGGAAAGATTAAAGAGGGGAAGGCAAACATCCTGAAGGCTTAATTTCCCTAAAGTTAAGCTACAGTACTGGGCAACAGTAGAGCTCATATAACCTGCATTTTCCCCTCCTTTAACAGACTCACACAATTAACCCAGTTTTGCCCAACCCAAGGGATGCTTATCCTCAGGAGAGTGCTCTTTCCTCAGTCTTTCTCTGGAGTGTATGCCAAGGAAAGCTGCTTTCTCTCTCCTGGCTTCTAAGCTCAAGGCCAGAGGAAGTCCATGACTGCTCAAACCCCACTCCAGAAACCACATGGCTGGAGGATACTGCTGAGAGCCTGAAGAATATCTCTGCAAAACCAGTTGTGCAAAACCCCAGCACTAAACTATTCTTTCCCAAGGGGCCATCAGTGCTTCTCAATATCCCCTAACAGACTGAAGCCCTCACTTCCCACCAACCATCAGCTATAGAAAGGTGCCTCAGTGTCCTCTGCTTTGGAAAAGTCACCTCCAAATGTTAGAGCAAAGCAGGAAAGCAGGAAACAGAAAGAAAAATGGACAATATGTGCTCTGTGGGCATAGCCCACTCTTCCCAAGAACTCCTGTAATCTGGTTTCTCATGGACTTCATGAATTAGGCAAAAGAGCTGGAAGCTGCCCCAGGGAGGGAGGAAAGGCCTTGAACCAGCACTGCTGTACAGACACAGCTCTGCAGGTCTGGCCCTGGTAGGAGCATGTGAAACCCATCCTTTACACACCACGAACACCCAGCCAAGGTGCATTGATCCCTGCAGAGGCTGGAAGCAGAATTCCATTGTGGAGTCAGGGAAAGTTGCCATAGAAAAACCCCCTCACTTTAGGGTAACATTTATCGCCCAAACAGCTGGAAAAGCAACAAGAGGAAAATTCACACCCCTCCTTCTTGGCCCAGGAGTCTGTGGCTGGACTCTCCCTCACAGCCTGATGCTTTACCCATGGCGACAAACAAGTCCTTAGTATCAGGTTTTAACCAACTCCACAAGTCCAACACACCCAGCATGTAGAAGAACAAACCTCAAGCCTCTCACAGAGCTCCCCCTCCAGCAGACATCCCACCCAGCCCAGGCCCTTCCTGGCTGCACCAGCCCTGCTCCCCCTGCCAGGGGAGCAGCCCCAGCTCCTTCTGCCCTGTGCAGCCTCCAATATTGAACAGCCTTTCTCTGCAGCTGGTGCCCAAAGATGCTCTTCAATGGCACAGAGATCACAGGCTGTGGGGGTGCACAGCCCCACACGTCTTTGTGTGGACAGCCCAGCTGGCCTGACCCACAGGAGGTGTGAAAATTGCCTCCCCACGAGCAGTCTGAGGACAGACCCCGCACCCTGCTCTCTACTATGAACAGCAGTCTGGCACAAAGCAAATGCAGATGGAACAGGGAAACCATAGGGAAGTCCACGTTCTCTGGGAAGCAAAGGAGCACAGGTTTCTCTCGATCTCAGAGCTCCAAAAATGTGACACACACAGCTAAAGAAAAAGATAAAATTAAGGGAGAACTTGTCAACACAATCCAGACTAATTTCTGCTCCAGAGGCACCTGGCTTCACTGAGGGGTGCCCCAGCTAACAGCACTCCAGAGCCAGGTTCCTCTTGCCTCGCTCAGATGGAACATTGGAGTATCTTGCCTCCTCTCACACAGGGCCATATGAAAATCTTGCATATAAAAACCAAGTCATGGCAGCTACTGACCAGTCAATTTCCCTGGAAAACAGCCCCACAGATACTTACAATCTCCATCCTGAAGTCTATAGGGACAAAACCATTGTTGAAGAGGGTAAAGCTTTGTGATGTAGGCTGTAGTACTGGGAGCATGCCAAAGTCTATCAGCCTGGGACTTGGGTAGATTTTTCCCAGGTATCCAGAGCTCTGAAATTGTATTCTCTGTTCCAGGAAACAGGCAAGATAGATAAAAAAAAAAAAACAAAAACACAAAACAAATTACAACAGGGAAACCTAAAAAAGTTTAAACAGCTCAACTGTGCTCAAGTTATTTCTTTAGGGACAGCTACCACTCTCCAGCTGAAATGATGGGTTTTTGGGGAAAAAGAAAATTACATATTCACCTCCAAATTAAAAAGGATTAAGGTACAAGAAACTTTCAAACTACAAATTATTGGCCTAAAGGTAAAAGCTTTGCAAGAAATCTCTAGTTAAGACCAGGCTGA